AATGACATGATATAAATTAAAACAAATTAAATAAACAGCAAGTTAAAAAATGACAACTTAATACTAATTACATAAACCATCTAACTATTACTCAAAGGAATATCGAACTTAATCGAATGCAAGTTAGGGGTTGATCTACTCTCGGTGATCCCTCGCGGTGTAGGCTGCGGCTTGGCGGTCGGCTGTACTGCTGCTGATTCTAATCTTGACTCCAATGCCGGCTTCTGAGTCCGTCTCCTTCGGATCCAGAGGATAAGTATGATAAAGCCCGTGAGGATCACTCCAGCCACCAGCGAGTAGAGCACGCTATATTGATGCACGTCGTGGACACTCAGCGTTTGAGTTGATTGTTGCTTGAGATCTTCTATGTCTGATTTTAACTGGCTCCATATTGAATGATGATCCTCGGGTACAAAAGTATCCATCGAGGGGATGCTGGTGTTGACTATCTCGTTAACAACAGACATCTGTGGAAGCTCCATCTCTTCTGTATGATGGTCCACGTGATTGATAAAGTTCTTGTGAGAGTAAATCTTGAAAGAATCTCCCTTAAGTATGCATCCTGGACATAGAGTGATAATACCGTTGCCTGATAACGACTTCACTTCCGTATTACGTATGCTAAAAATGCGGACAGTGCATTGCTGACAACATTGATATAGCCAGTCGTTCGGGCGCCGTAACTTGATCCATTTATTTTCGCACGTCGACTGTTTTTGTATACAGGCTGATGTGATTATTCCATTGATTTTGATATCGCAAATAGATTGCTTTTCTCTTATTTCATAGATTGGCTTATCAATAGAACATAATATCTTCTCTGTACTTGGATGAAGGCACTGCAACAGGTCGTTTTCTGTGAAGAATAAGACCAGGTCCTTCCTCAAATTAAATGCTAAATAGGGATAAGTCGATGCAATTTGATAGCCTTTTCCTGATTCTTCTCTTTGTAGAGGGATGATCTTATCCAGTTCATATTTCTCTGTGGACACAAGAGGAATCTTGATTTCCATGATAAGGTAGTCTTTATACACTCGAGCAAATACTCGCAGTAATTTATAAAGACTTCTGACACTTGATTTGTCTAGTGGCACATTGAGGTCATCCTGTATCTCCCGGTTTATTATATTAATTTGAGCCTCCAATTCTTCAGGCGGGAACAGGTGGGTATCAATGCGCCCATGATAGATGTCAGTTATGACGTCGATGAGACCTTGTTGTACACGTCGTAAGTTTGATAGTACGGCGTATGCTGATAGTGCTGACGACGTTAAGTAGAGACCTTGCGTTGATTCCGATTGTACGTTGTTTACTTCTTGCAATAAGGCTTTCATTTGTTTGTTCATGGAAGTAAATTGTTGGTTCATTATAGCCTCATTTCTTC